TCTAGGTAATGTCGGTAGATAAATAAATATGTAGCCTCATGCCCTGCTATTTTTTCCCGTCAAACTCTTTTCAGGGCCGCGTATATGGGATTTACTGAAACCATTCACTTATTGCTGTTCAGGAATGCCTACCAAGGCAGACAAGATAAAGATGGTAGGTATGCCTGCTCTTGATTATACTATATAAATTTCAGTGGTCTAAATTCCATGTCACGTGAATCCCCAAATCTTGTTTAGAAATTACTGGAAGTAATATATCACTGATAACATGCCCCACTCAGTAAAGAAAATACTTGCACAGTTAATAACAGTGGTTTAATTATTTCTGTTGACTTGCAGTTCAAAATTTATTTTTCTCTAATTTTTATGGTTTGATGGACTAATACTCTTTAAAGATGCTGCCTTTTAACCATGTGGCTGGTAAACTGTGAGACTTTTATCCATTTATGAAAGCACTGATCTTCAAACTTGGTTTAATTTCGCACATCCACTGTAATACAGTGATATGTTTTTGCATGGTTGTTCCTAAATGAGAGTGTTAGTAATTCTACATAGTTTAATTCTCGATAGTTAGTTTGCTATTGGAGTTAACCATTCGACTAGATCTTCGAATTCCAAAAGGGCTTATATCAAAATTTCGATATCTTTTATTTTTTGTAGGATGCACTCCTTTGCATTGGGCTGCATTAATAGGAAATGTAGATGCATGCAACTTACTTGTATATGCTGGCACAAGGCAGGAATTGATGATAAAAGATAGAGATGGACACACACCTGCAAAACTTGCATCCGACAAAGGTTATCGGCAAATCGTTCTATTGCTTGTATGTCATTTTTATTGCTATTACCTACATATAACTTCATTCATATTTTTGTCTTTAATGTTGATGATTGGTGGTCCATTTGGATGTTATTGTGCCAGAGATGACAAGTTCATTTTGGTGGTTTACTGTTTTTTTTATCTGTCAGCCACTCAGCTCTTTAACCATTGCCTGTTTGATCCTGCGCAGAATAAGGCAGAGCATGCACAGAGCCCGCGATGGAACCACAAATATTGTTCAGGAATAGGATGGGATTATGGCTGGGCCCCCGTTTTGTTCAGTATAATTGTTATCAATGCCATTCTTTTCATCAGTTCTGTTCTTTTTGGTGGGTGATCTAAACCTTAGGGTCTTTAATTTTTTTCCATGCATTCCGTTGGGATGCTAATTATTTCTTTACTGTGGCTTGTGGTAGCCCATAATCTTCCAAAGCCTACTGCGGTTGTTGCACTTTGGGGATGGATTGGTGTTTCCATGGCAATTGCATCTCTCTTAATGCTTGTTCGGTGTAGTAGGTACTGTTTATGTGTTTGAGTACTCTCTCTGTCTCATTTTATGTGTCAAGTTCTTTATGCACGGATACTTACAAAACAAATCATATGCCATCAATTTTCCAATATTTATACGGAGTATAAAACATGAAGCATTTGTTTGGTTGAGGTGAAATAGGATAAAAAGAAAAAAGAAGGGAAAGGAAAATGAGAAAATTAAAAGAATGTTCCTTGCTTGGTGAGATGTGTCAGAGACACATGGAGGTGAGATGAAGAGGCGGATCCCACCATCTTTTTCGTTTCTTCTCTTATAGAGATAAATGAATCTCACAATTTCTACCCATTTTCTACATTTCTCTCCTACCAAAGAACACACAAAATCTATCCTTCCCCCCTGCTGTTTCACTTTTCTCAATCGCTTTCTGATCCATTTCTCTCTTCTCTATTTCTTTCCTTAACCAAAAAAGACTAATGAATATGAAAACAGGTCAAAATCTCTAATTTTGAACTTTCTTTACTTAGATATAGTTTGCGTATTTCAAGTTACTACCCCAAAGGGTGGTGCATTTAGTTTCTGAATGATGTTCCTGATGCAAGTGGTTGGTATCTGTTGCTTGCAGTAAAGATCCAGGTTATCTTAAGACTGGGACCAGTAAACATTCTGATTCAGAAGTACTCGCCCTCCCATCTAGAATTTGTACTTCAGTAATTTTGAAGATTTTTATTTTTAAAATTTCCTTTGTGATACTTCATACTCGTATACTTAACCAACTGGGCTACTAAACTTTCCAGGATCCTTTGTTGAGCATTGATCTGAATAGTTCATCTGTTTGGACTGGGAATTGGTCTCAACTTTGCCCAGCCTGCAAGGTTCTTCATCAACCTTGTATCTTGTTAACATGTGATGCATTTTTCCATACATATTTCTAATATCGTAGTTACTCTGACTAAAGATAATTAGGCCTCTGCGCGCCAAACACTGCAAAACATGCAACCGCTGTGTGGAACAGTTTGACCATCACTGCCCTTGGATATCAAATTGTGTGGGAAAGGTATAAAGCACATTAATCTCTTTTGCGACTCAATGAAATGGTACACATAGTAGACATAAACTTTACTAGTTTACTGTTATTATATTTTTGTGTGATGCATACATTGCCATTGGACCTAAAAGAGTTGTTTACAATGTTTTAGCTTCAGGTAAATAATGAGCTAAATCAAAATGCACACTAAACTTCTCTACTCCCTACTTTTTATGAAGTTTGGGTAGTAAATGTAGCAATGCATCAAGCGTCCAAGTGTTTAAACAGAAATAGTCTCTTTGTTTTTTGTTTTGGTAAGAATGTGTACAACTCGGTCCCGTAGAACCCCCACAGAGTTGGGATTATGCTGTGTTTTGTCGTTGTTATGTATTGTAGTCTGGCAATTTTGCCTCCATATACATTTTCCCTTCATTTTTTATCCAATTGAACCTTGCAGAGGAATAGGCGAGACTTCATCATTTTCCTTTGCATGGGTATGTTGACGTCGCTTATCGGGGCCATGGTTGCAGTGCATAGTATGTAAAAAAAATCCATCTCACAATACTCACTGTGTGTAGAAGTCATTTAAGGCTTTGTTGTTAATGATAAATAGCACTTCTCTGTTGAAGGAATCTGGATGTCATTACCTGAATTAGGAGAAGATGATGGAACATGGGTGCGCCTTGTTGTGTTTGATCATCCTTGTGTCCTTGCTTTCCTTTTTATGGATCTGGTTATTCTCCTTGGAACGTTTACTTTGTTCGTTGTTCAAGCATTTCAGGTATTTAATCGACTCTCTTCCCACCCTCCACAGACCCCATTCTTGTTACCTTATTGGGTTGTGTTGATGAAGATGATGATTTATGTTTTAAAATCCTTTCAAGGTCGCGCAAAATATAACAACGAACGAATATGCCAATGCTCGCCGGTACGAATATCTCCGTGGTCCAGATGGGCGCTTCCACAACCCCTATAACCACGGGTGTCCCAAGAATTGCTTAAGTTTCATAACCCACGGCTTCCCGGACGATGACAAGGTTGCCTGGCCACCGTTGCCACATCTTGTCCAGAAGACACACCTATGACTCTCTAGATAGAAGAAGATACAATTGGTAAACGCCGCATCTCGCATGGGGCTTGTGTTGTTGTTGTTGTGTGTACAATATAGATTTTTCTTGCTTGCTTCCACTCTGTCTACCTTTGGACAGAAATGCACACAATGTATTACAGTACAACTTATAAGAACCTTTTTTTTTTCTCTTGATGCCTTAATAATTACAGTACTATAATGAATGTGAAGCTGAAAGAGCCAAGGTTTTTTTTAAGGCTCTGTAGGTCTGAGCTGAGGATTTACTTGATCAAATTTGATGAAAGATGGTGAGTCCAAACCTATCTACCCAAATGTTGTTTTGATAATTATTCACTTGACCAAGTTGAAGGTAGTGTGTATAGTAGTAAAAATCAAGTCAAAAGATGAAGGTAATGTGTCGTAATTCGGGCTTTTTGGAGATCCTTCGAGTTGAAGATATATTCTTGAGTAATTTACGTGAATAAGACTAAAACATAATACCTTTCTCAATATATGACTGCATGTTTTTATTTTCCAATGTAGGACCATTGGTCATTATGTATTAGTCATTATTCAACAAAATGTCCAGCATCACTTAGACATTATTCTTCTCACTAGTCATTATTAAGTCTTATTTAAGAAATAAAAAAGTGTAAGTCCTATTTTAGCAAATAACTTATGTTTTAGTCCTATCCAGTTCTTTATAAGACGAGCGAGTGAAGATAATCAAACTTAGAGGCGGGAGAAGATAAGATTCAATTGGAAGTATGTCCTAAGGCAACGAAGCATAGTGACAAGATGTCTAGTGAGACTAACCAAATTGGGGTATAGGATAAATTTATTCGCTCAATTATATCATGCAGATACTACTCTCTACTTTATAGCAAGAGATTCATGACTTATTTACAAATATATACTTCCTCCGTTCCTTAAAATCTTTCTCATTTTGACTTTGGGCCAAAATAATGAAAGTGTAATTTTGGTTGACTTTCCAATTTTGCCCCTGATGTGATGGGTAAAAGCAAAACGTGATAGTTTGGTCATTAGTAAAAAGTATGATGTGATAGGTAGGGTATGAAAAAGTAGGAGTAAAAGTAATTTTTTAGTAGAAAGTGGAAGTGTTTTAGGGAATATGAAAAAAACGAAAGAAGAAGAGTTTTATGGAACGTATTTTTTTTTGTATATTGAGATTCAGAACTGATTTACAAAAGAAATTTTTTTAAGGAAACAAGAACTTAGTTTAGACTAAAATATGTAGTTTTGGGTTTTTGGGAAAAAGGAGTTGTTAATGTTTTAGATTTTTATACGCATATTGCTTGAACAAAAAGGTGTCGTGGTGTAGTTGGTTATCACGTCAGTCTAACACACTGAAGGTCTCCGGTTCAAACCCGGGCGACGCCATTCCTCCCTTTTTTTTCGTGCCTCGTTGAATTTTTGTATCCACAATACGCCGTCGTTTGGAACCCACCAAATTGGCATCCCGCATAATCCGGCTCTCATTGGCCACGTCACTCGCATCCCTCCCTCGCCTCCCATTGGTCGAGCGTCTGCCACGTCAGCGTCCCCTTCGCGGCTCCACCATATACTATCCCAGGTTCATCCCCACCATATATTTTCTTCTCCAATTCCGCTGCAAATTCAACGAAGATTTTGCTGTTCTTTGCTTTTCGAAATCCATCCATCTCTCGATTCCGCTTCCGGCTAGATGGCTTCCCGGAGGATTCGATCGGAGAGCCTCGCGGCGATTTGTTTCCTTCTCATCTCGCTTCCTTTTCCGGCATCGGAAGCTTTAATCGCCTCCCCGGGTTCTAACCCTCCTTACCCCAAACTCATATATGTAAGCTTGTTTTTTTTCTTTTTCTCGTTTTTCTCTTTGATCTAACTATGGTTTCATGGAGACCATTTCATCCAAATTTTGTTTATCTTTCAGCCAAGTTTGAAGTTTGCTATCATGTTGTGTATTTTTTTGTTTAGAATTTTTAATTAAAGCTCCTTTTGCATAGCTCAATTTTCCCTGAACCTTGAAATGGTGTGATCGGGATTAAAAGAAAGCTGGAGTTTGGGTGTAAATATGGTTTTCTGTATGAGGAATTTGTAATTTAGGATGATGCTTATACAGAAGTAAGATTGTAGTGTTGGCATTGAATAAATAAATTTTGTGTTGGAAATAGGATTTGAAGGAATCGATTGCAAAGGGATTAGGATTCAAGGAAGAGGATTTCAAGATATCTGGATTTGATTGGAGAGATGTCTTGGTCGGGCGGTCGGTGGCATATGAATTTGATGTTGAGATTGATGATAAAGTTCTTCCCTTGAAACTTCTGGAGGATGTGAATAGATGGGAGTATGTGGATCTTCCTATTTTCCGGGTACAGGATCCGGCTGAGGAAAGGGGGCTGGTGGAGAAGAACAAATTGGAGAGTGAGATGCCTGTGTTAGCTCCATTCACTCTGGCAGGCCCAATGGAACTTTGGATCCAGGATGGCAAGAACATGAGGCTTTCTCTTCCTGTAAGTTGAACCTCTATTTGTTCCTATGCAATGCCTAGTTTCTCGTTTTTTTACATCTGACTTTAACACTATGTTTGGTTCAATGAAGTTGAAAGGGAAAAGAAAAGAAAATGGTACGGAAAACTATTTTTTGTGTCTGGTTAGAGAGGAAAAAGAAAAGAAAATCAGAAGACAAAATGAACTAAGAGGATAGAAATTTCCATTTTGGTGAGGAAAAAGAGTTTCTTTTCTTTTTCTTCCTCATTCCTTGATCCAAAGTTCCAAACATAGTGCAAGTTCTTTTGCACTTAACATACATAACTGCATACTTGAAATATTTTTGCTTTGGCCGACTGGTTTTTAGGTCATTCTCACTGTTAGTCCTGGTCTTTTGTTTTCCTACCATGGATGCATGACTATGGATTTGTTGCCATTTTGTGCTCCTGAGCACTTCTACCAAATTTTGTTCAGTTTTCAACTGATTTTCTTGCACTATATGGACAAAAGGACTGTTAAGAAACCCACAGTCTTGCATCAAAAAATGGAAAAAGGAAAAACAGTCACTTGGTCATTGCCCAGAAGTTGAAGATTTTCTTTTTATCCGAAAATAATGCAATTTGCACACAATTTCTCACTCCAGAGATTTAGCTATTTTTGTTCTAGTTGCGCCAGTGTCCCAACTCCCAACCTAGTTGGTTTATATAATGATCCTCATTTGCTGCTGGCCTACAAAAATATATTTCATAAAGACTGGAAAAGTATGCATGAGAACAAAGTTGAGTCTAAATTGCATCCTCAAAGACAAAATTGAGTCTAAAAGGAAGTGGATGGACAAAGTGAGAAATTTTGTATAGTTGAAGGACCAAACTTGAAATTGACTCTTTATATTACTACATGTTACTGATTGGTTTTTTGGTTTCTAATAATATATGCAGCATGATGTGGAGGCTGGTACAGTAAAAAAAGTGGTGTTAGCAGACGGTGCTATGGTCACTGTTAAGGGTGCCAGATCTGTTAGTCTACGCCATCCAGTCGAGCTCCCTCTTCCATTTAACACATCCCGAAACGGTTTTGCCTCTGGTCTGTTAACTCTAGCAGAACATCTACGCCAAGCCATTCGCACCGAAGGTGGTCCCGTTCTATCCCTTCGCATTGTGGGCCCAACCTCTCTCACATCACCCACTCCATCATCACCATCATCTTCATCAAACAAACTTAAGCTTAAGCGCTTAGCACCCGGCCTTGTGGAGCTATCGTCCGTACCTAAAATGAAAGCGATCTCCACTGTCGATCTTGGAGAGACAACCACCCTCTTAACACCTTTCCAATTCACTACCATGTGGCCATTGGTTTCTATCAATGGCTCAAACCACAACTTGATTGGTTTTGAGTCTTTGCTGTCTTCCCTGCTGGGTCCCAAGGCAAGCACAAAGGGTTCCTTCAAGCTGCTGAAGGCTGACATATCGGCCCAAACGTTTGTGAAGATGGGTTTTGGGTTGGAGAAGAAGTTGGATGCAGGGGACAAGTTTGGTGCCGAGAGTCTCCCAGAGTGGATGACGAAGCCTGAAACCGTGAGGATGCATTTTGAGGTACTGGCGAAAGTAGATGGAGACAAGGTTGTGCCTGAGAGAGTGGTCCAGGTTCATCCTGCAAGTATAGAGAACACTGTGGCACCAAATGTGCTTTCTGGCAATAGGACCATGTCTACCACTCCCATTGTCCATCTACCTCCAAGTCCATTCACATTATGAACTCCTCAGGTCGGTTCAGAATCAATCTTGTCCGCATATTGTATATGTAAATTAATTCTTTTTTATTATTCTTTTTGTTTTCTCTCCGGCACAAACACTTGTTTCTTTTGGAATGATAATCATAAACTATGTACTTCGTATACAATGTAACTGTGTATTGTTGGAGAAGAATGTCAGATGCATCACATTTTAAATGAATGATCAGACTTTATGCTTAAATAGAGCATAAAATGGTTCCATGCTAAATAGATCATTAAATTCATCAGCCTTTTTTTCTTTATCTGTTCTTACCTTTGAGTTTAAGGTCTCTTGAAAACAGTCTTTCTACTCATTAGTTGGGCTAAAATGTGTGTACATGCACTCTCTTCTCATACCTTACATTTTGTTTTGCATAAAGGCAATGTTGTAAAAAATGAAGTGCACGCTAGGCGGTAGACTATGGTTTAGCACCTAGTCGGAGATCACTTGACGTTAAGGCGAGATTGTTAATGAAAATTGCCTATGGTATACATTATATTGGAGAGATTTCCGGTACTTTTAATTGTCTGTAAACGAAGAATGTTTTAGTGAACACATCTAGTGGCAATTTGATTTTCCAAATTTAGGTCATAGCTATGTACTCTATATAATATTTTTAGCTTATTTACCTACTCCCTCTGTCCCATTTTAAATTGTCTGTTTGCTTTTTTTCATTCGTCCCAAAATAAGTTGCCTGTTAGTTGTTTTCGTGAACTTTTAAAAATAAAATACCTAAATTACCCCTAAAATAAGCCACTTTTCTTCACCTTATCTTCTCATTCATTATCATCCCTCCTAAAAAGTAATGACAACTTTGGAAAATCAATTTTATTTTTTATTTTTCTTAAATATGCCCAAAACTCAAAACAGGCAATTTAAATTGGGACGGAGGGAGTATCTTTTTAGCTATGCAAGGGAACAAAAACACTAGGTCTCAGATTGAAAAATATACTCAATAGTGAACAAGTTACCGCATGTGTCAGTGATTAGCCTTGGGAACCAAGCCCAATCAATCTATCATCAATGGTTACCAGAATGCCATTTAATGTCATTTGCTCACATTGAAGCAATTGATTTGCTCCATTTTTTTGCGGAAAAGAGCATAACAGCGGAGGAGAATGCAATGGGGCTAGGCAATGTGGATTGTGGAAGATAGAGTTGTTCATTCCTTTTATTATATGACAAACCACGAGTGTGCACACAAACTGGTTACAAAAAATTGTAAATATGACTATTGCCTACAACTTTCTAGAAAACTCGCCACACGAACAATCAAAATACTACCTTTAAGGAGGAAAATGCCTACATGTCCATAAATTTTGAACCAGAACTTGTCCAAATTAATGTGGGAAATCAAATTTGTCGTTTAAATGACATGACTTAGGTGTTAATTAGTCTTTTTGCGTTATGGGGACATCATTCTGGCTCTTTTGAATTTGGGTATTCTCTTTCTGGACAATGTAGCATTGCTCTTCAATAAACAATTGAACGAAACACGGGATGGCACGTGAAATGGATATGTCATGTTAACTTTTTGGCACAACTTCTCGGGACATGTGTGGTATGGAAGTGTGGCTCCTTGGGGATGGTCACTTGTTTTCTTCCCCGCGAATTTGACCTTAAAAATGGAAAAGGTGTTTCTTGGTGAGTGGCAAAAGCACCATTTTCGTTCCCCTCTCTTGCCTTGGTTGTTTTTGCAACTTTAGATGAACTTTCATCGATTGTTGCAAGTTTTCGACCAGGAATCACGTGCGAGGCCATTGAGTTCTTTGAAGAAGAAGAAAGCCTGCAAAGTGATAGTCACAACTTAGTTGATTTATACTGGGGTATATATTTATGATCAATCTATCAAAAGAAAAAGTCTGTTCTAACCTTTGAGACATGGCTTGTTTTTTCTCCAGGGGCTGTTCAACCTTCCTCGAGACAGAAGCATTAACAGCTTTTTTTGGTGTCGCATTGATAGTCTTTGATCCTACTTTGCCTCTTGACATGTTACTTATTTCTGCTGTTCTGTTCCCTTTCTGCAAAATGTCAAATTTGGTAACTTAGAAGAATTTAAACAGATGGACTACACATCCAAATTAATTTCAATCTCTTACAATCAAATTGCCATTCAAGTCTGCAGATTCTTTGGCATTGCCTTTGCAGTTACCACCGCCAGCACTGGTGCCATTATTTCGTTGTTTTGGTGTTTCCGCAATGTCCTGATATATTAATCAATTACATGTTGTTAAACATTCATAGGCACATTTAGAGTATGTAGACAAATTTAGACCAAAGTTTAGATGATGTCCAATGAAGCTAAAAGAGTCGTAATTGACAATGTTCTAGCTTCGGATAAATAATGGAATAAATCAAAATGACGCTTAAAAGTTAAAACTTTCTTCCTTCGTACTTTCAATGAAGTTTCGCGTAGTAAATGCAACGGAGTAAAACACTGCATACATCTTAACTCCTAGACCCCAATGAAGAAAGTTTGTCTTCAGGGTATGTTTGGAATCCAAAATAAAGATTTTCCAAGTAGACTATTTTGAGCACGGTATTTACCCGACTATCTGCTCCACTTTTTCTGGGCAAATCACCACTGGGGAGGTGTTCTGGATGATGGCCTTTCCTCTCAAAGTTAGATTCCTTGAGAATGCTTCTTTCCTGATATAACAAAAATGTTAATTTATGAAAAAATGAATAAACATATTGACATTCTAACACACCGAATCTGAAGCCAAAGTGTAGCATTTCTTACATCAGTTCTTAGCCTGAAAGGCTTGGGGTTTGTAGGCTTTGGTTTCTTGAATTTCATCCCTGGAGGAGGAGCACTACCAGTGTTCGTGAAAGCTTTATGGTTCTTGTCTACTGGTTGGGCAATCTGGTTGACAATCACGGATAATATACGTATCAGTGAACCTTAATTATCACCACAAAAAAGAAATTTTAAGAGTTAAAGAAAGTACCTTTTGTATGATCTTTATCTGTTCACCAAGAACTTTTGCCTGGATGTTGTCATTATTTAATAGTGCTCTGTATGATATATTTAGATAAAGAAACTCAGCTAAAAATTTCTTTAAATTTAGCTAAATAAATGAATTATAATTATTGACAGAAGTGATGATTTTCAATACTTATCCTTATTAAAATTTAGAATTTGCATATCTTTATGGACCAAGTTCGTACATTATTATCGGTGATGACAATAAAGAAAATTTTATATACCTGTTTTCATCAGCAGATGCATCATTTTCTTTGTTGTCTGATTCTGTTTCATGATATTGAACTTCAGATAGTTGGGCTTCTGTAGGATGCTTCTCAAGGTTTACTGAGTTCTCTGAATTTTCATTTGTTTCTGAGTCTATCTGCTCCAAAATAAACACATTCACATTCTCTCTTTGAACATCTGATGGGATTTCTGCATTGATCTTGTTGCTGCTGGGCACCACCAAGCCCTTGAGATTTTGCACTCTTTTGGAATCATGAGGTTGAGACATTGAAGAAGCCTTAGGAACACTCTTATCCTTCTTGGAACTCTTGGTTTTCATTGCACTATCTGATGGCATTGGCTTTCCTTGACCGCGATCATTCGATAATAAACACTTCTTTTGAGATGTGATTGCAAGCTTTTTCATCCCTTCACACAGCTTTGTGAGAGGAGTTCGCAACTCGGCAGATTTCTTCAAGCTGATGGCTTTCTTTGGAGAGTGGAATGCCAGAGCCTTCTTTCCCGCCATCCGATGATTCTTCGATGATGCAACAGTGGCACTTTTGGGGTTTTGAACGCTTTGAGACGAACTTCCATCCGGGAGACACTCTTTGCTCCTTGGGGTTGTAAGGTATTTGGCTGAAACTTGCTTTGTTTTAACCTTTGGAGTGGAGATTAGATTTTGAGAAGAAGGGTTATTAACTTCTTCCTTCTTCTCAAATCCCAATTTCCTAGAGATGGATGGAGGAACTGGTAACCTGGGCTTTGAGAATTTTGAAGGAACTGACATGGGGCACTTCATGTTTCTGTCAAGGTAAAATAGGAATAGTTCTATGTTAATGGACAAGAATTTACTCAAACTTCTTGAGGCTGTGTTATGACATTGGATCCCAGTGTGATAACCACTTCATGATGGGATCTAGTGTCAATTATCAAAAGAAGAGCCATGGGGTAAAAAATCAATCTTTTTTACATTTTTCAAGTCTTTATGCAAGATTGGAAAATATTTAATAGAATGAGCAAAAAAATGCACATTTTCTTTCCCTTTTTTTTGTTTTCACCCACTTCTTCTTCCAATATTCCTCTCTATTTTCTTGACCTAACATTTGAGTACCTTGAGGCATTTCTACATAGTGCCTTTTGAAGCCTTACATTGGGACTCCTGGCTGCCATTACCTGTAGTCATATATACATAAGAATCACCATATTATAAATGCTGCCATTTCTTCTTGACAATCGCAGCTAGAAAGAAAGAAATATATATATATATAGACAACGAATTCGGACCCACCCGAAGAACGAAATCCTTGTAGATTTTCTCAGAGTCCATCTCTTCTTCATGTTTTTGTTCACATCCTGAACAATAATGAAGTGGTTAATTAATAAAAAACTCAAATTTGTTTTGTTTTTTTTTTCACTTCAAATTTGAGAGAACCTATATATTCTATGCTCTAAACCAAAATGTTTCTCTCTTTTTTACTGGTCTCAACATTTTTCTCTATATTTGTAAACTAAAAAGTGAACAAATTATTTCAGATCCAGCGGAAAAAAAGAAATTTTATCAGAGAGAGGGGGGGAAGATGGTATATATACCGACTCGGAGGCAGAACCAGTAACGGTCGTCCGGGCAGTAGTGATCGGGAGAGGTGAAATCGACGAACTTGGGAGCCTCGATCGTTTCATAGAACACTTCATCCTCTCCGGCGTCATTACTGCTCCGGCCACCGCCGCCGCCGTCGCTACAGACAGATTCCGGCAGTGAAAGAGGCCTAATCCCGAAGTCTTTTACCATTCCTGCTGTGCTGTGTGGAGCGTCTCCCGACGGTTACAGAGAGAGAGAGAGGTGTGGAATTGTTGTCTGGTGATTCTTTCCAGAAACAGAGGTTGCTTTTCAAATGGCTGTCTGCAAGTAGCCGTTGGGAACTTAAAAACCGATCCAGCTTTGGGGTAGATCCGTAGATGTGGAATTTCCAAAAAAACACATCAAATTTCACTTTTTTTAGAGATAGAAAATAATTTCACTCTTGAAAAATTAATAGAGTTAGAAAATGATCTCTAGAAAAAAATCATTTTTTAGCATTTGATTGAAAATTTGAAAAATTTATTCCTATTTTATTCTAACTTTCTTTGGGAAAAAATGTAAGTAATTGATTTGTTCATATTCCCTCTTTCCACTCTATTAACCACACAAATTTATCTTATTTAAATTATGTATGACAAGTAAATAAGAAAATTAAATAGAGACATATACAATTATAAATAGGAGTAATTTTTAATTAAAAGAACCACATGGGAATAATTTTTTTATAACATAACAAATCTTTTTGAGTTTACATTAAAAGAACTTGTTGAATTCCAATCTACAAAGTAGGAAAAAGCTAGAAAATATTTCTAAAAAAAAGAGTAGAAATCATTTTTCTCCCAAACAATGCTCATTTTTCCTTGACTTTAGAAATTATTTTTTGTTATTTCTTATTCTTCAGAACAAGCAAACACAAAAAAATGGCTTTCAAGCAATATATCGTATTTCTTCAATATTTAAGTCATAAACTCAATCTAACTTGAGCTAGAATTGAAAATTTAAGTGATAAACTCAATCTAACTTCAATATTTAAAATGTGAATAGAGAAATTTGTATAGAGAGAACACACATCTTATATCTGAAATATGTGCAAATAAAAATACGTCCTCTTCCCACATGTTGGGGAGGAGTATTACTCCGTAATAAACAAGAAGTATGAGTGCATGGTTTTCGTACCCATCTAATAATTAAATAGTGGAACATGGTCAGGTCGTATAAGCTAATGAATTCTTAAGCAACTGACTTTTAAGACTGGCTTGCGGCCAATGATCGACTGTCATAACCTAGACAAGGTCGATCACTTGTCTTGAGATCTCTATCATCTAGGTATTTAGTCATAATTTTTGTACCTTTACAAAGTTGATATACAAGAGTTGTGGATGTCAATCGCACACCACGAAACACATGCTAGATGGTGTAGCACCTTCATCCATGATCATTTTTTGTGATGCTTCTTTTGAGTCATTAATCCATCTAAGCAAGAGATTCGTTTTATGTACAATACGATCATTCAGAGACCAAGCGAAATTATTTGTACTTACCAGTTTGTCAAAGACAAGATTTGTGAAGATTGCGCAGTAAAAGAATATTATTCTGGATGAGAGAGTGAGAAAGGGATTGGTGGCTGGCATAGTATGGTCGACCGTGAAAGACGACGACGATAGTGGTGAAAGGCGATGAAGAGAATAACTTCGATACCATGATATAATTTGATAAAATTGATATGTTTAAATAATAAAGGTTTCATCAATGCCTATACAAGAGATTTTAAGTCAATTAGGAAAACATAATATGGTAATAAACATAATATGAGATTTTTTTAAAAAGATATACTGTCTCTATTTCTAAAAGATTGACACATTATGCAAAATAAAGTACTCCGTAAAATTTTAATTTTTTTAACTCATTTTATTTGAAAATTGGTCCAAGAACAATAATTTAAATGCATATTTAAAAATTAAATCATTATTTTTACAAAACAAGACGTGACAATTATTCATTATTTTTATCAAATAATCAATGAAAGTGTATAAATAAATACTCCGTAACTTTTTTTTGTGACGTTAGAATAGTAAAGAATGTCAATTTTTTAGAAACGGAAGTAGTACATTACAATTTAAGTTTACATTTTTTTGTACAAGAAAAAACGAAATTTCACAATTTTTTAGGTTTTCTTTGAAAAAATAGTGTGAAGTTTGTTTCTTTAAACAAAATAGCCTGAAGTTTTGTTTGGCGAATTGGCGTGGACAAAGAGTTTTATCGTTTCCAATTGGACTTCAAAACCATCGGCTCTGGCTGCTCCCAAGTTCATCCTATTCCCTTGACGATTCTTCCATTTCCAGGTAGGTATCTATTTGCATCCCTCCACGCCCCTGCTTCGTTCTTCTCTGCTTCGGCTCAATCCCTTATCTCATATCCTGAAACAAAAATTAAGTCTTGTTTCGACCATCCAGATGAATTCTTCTATCTATATGGTCGAAATTCAGGGTTTGGATTCGCGGTATTCAGGTCTTCTATTAGCCCTATTTCCTCCGAGAATGTGCGCGAAACACCCCTTTACTCATGATTTTGCTGATTCCCTGAGTTGGGGGTAAAGTGATTCGTCATCTGACTACGATTGATCAATTTAGGGTTTTCTGATTGTTCATCTCTTCATTTCGTTTCTTCCAGAATTGATAATTTCGGCTAGAATTTCACGACTCAGTATTCTTTTACACGAAGAATTCACGAAATTTGGCATTATCTTTTTTTTCTTTAAAAGATTTCGTGAGGTTTTGCTAATCCAGTCGTTGAAAGGATAGGGCAAGAATAGAGTCAAATGCTTTTTCCACTACTGAAACAAGCGTTTAGTATTTCATCAAGGAAAAGTTTTCATCTTTTTCTGTAGTTTCACTTGTCATGATTTTGTGTGCAATTCTCTAGTTATTTATATTGGTTATTTCACTTGTTGCAGGTGTGCTGTTTTGTTCCGTGGTTTATGTTTTGATGATATATCTTTGAGTTGGGACCCCACAAGATTGAGATAACATAATTGAGAAATTCAGCTTCTTTGGCTGAGTTTCTTTGTTGCTGCCTTGGCTGGCCTGGCTGTTTCTGTCTTGTTGGATACTTCTTGCCCATTCTTGCTCCCGGATAGAGCAGATTGCCCATGGATTTGGCAACCGAAAACAGAATTGCTGCAATTCTCTTGAGAGAAGCTGCGGAATTAAGGCGAAAAGCTGATGAAGAGGGTGCCCTTGCTTATCTTTGTAAACCCACAATTAGGGGACGGCCTAATTCAAGATTTCTGAAGGCAACTGTGCTTGGCATACAACAAGGTAAAAACATCTTCCTGGTTGTGAACTGTTACATTATAAATACCCTTATCCTGTCTTCCCTGATTAATAATCTCTGTTCTTGTGAAGTCAAAAGATTCCTTAATAGTAATACTGTTATTGTCAAAAAAAATTGTGTTCAGTTTAAATATTAAACGATTGTGCTTCAGTTTATGTAGTAACTGAGGTCTATGGTGACTTTGGGCCAGATTGATACCCTGTATCGCTCTCATGAAGTGTGAAGTGCTGAGCTATAGAACATGATGTGCTATGGTTTAGAATAAACTCTTTTGGGTTGGTTATGATTGAAACATTGGGAATGTAGAAGTGAGACTGTTTTAAAGTTAGATAAACCATCTATTGTCTTAAGTGTAAAATGATATGGTGTGAAATCATCTCACCGTTGTGGCTGCTAAGTTATTTACAACTACCTGAATCTCAAAAAAGAATCGTGTTTCAGAAAGGTTCGAGCTTTTGATATCGGCAAAGTAAAACTTTTGAAAACAGTTAATTCTAGGCATATTTTTCATCTTAATGTTCATTTAACTAAACATGGAGTATAACATACTTAACTTGCTTGAGACATTTTTCCCTCTAAAACACTGAAAGATAATGAAAATTAGATCCTCTTGTCCAAAGAGGACTCCTTTTTAGAACACATAGAAGCATTCAAATAGGACTCATGTTTTGGTAGGAAGACAAATTGTTTCTTTGATTTCTCGTTTATTTAATTGAATTCATTTTCTTATTACAGCTAATCGAGCTGTTGAAGTAAACGAGATGTGGCGATTGAGGCAGAAAGAGTTGGGGGTTGATGATAGGAAGGAACGTAGATCGGGAAATGAGAATAGCAGTCCAAGGAGCCTAAGGGGCGTCACAACGTCTAGGATTAATGGTAAGAGGCACAGTGATTGTGGCTCTATTTCAATTGCTTCATGCTCGTCAAAGAACAGAGACACTAAAGATTACTATTTAAGGGATGAAGGCTTGCAGGTTGATGAAGTTCATGAATTTTTGCATTCAAGGTCAGTCCACCTATTATCTACTGTGAATTCTTTCCTTGGTTGTTCCTTGCACCTGTTCTCTATTTCTTCATGATGTGCAGATCTAGTTGTTAGGATCGTCTTAGATAGGTCGACAACTTGTGCTTCCTCCAAAGTCCCAAAATTTATGGGGACCCAAAATATGTTGTCCCAATATATTGCATTAGGCATTAGCAGGTTCAGTGTATATTAACCCACTCATTATTATTATTAGGCCCATTGTGCATTGTCCAATGATCAAAAGTAGTGCGAATAGTTTGTCGAGGAACTCTTCCTTGTCTAATCCATTGTACATGCAATGTCTTGTCCATTAAGGCCACCTGCAATCTGTACTTGAATTACTTTTGCATCTGCTTTTTCCCCTAATTTAATACGGAGTAGCTTTTTTTCATTGCTCGTCGAACGGAAACTTTTTTTAAAATTTTCTGCCGATAAATTTGGCAAGAATATTAGGATTGCTATAAAGTTTTTCAATTCTTGTGATAATTTAAATCTTCTATTATTTAGATGATTCTGAATCTTGCAGAGCTTGAAAAACAGCACATGTAATTCATTATTTTTCATGACATATCATATAACATATTTTAGCTTGCATTGTCATGAGATATGTAAGTATCATATTGCTCCCTCTATGCTATTTATTTCAATAAATTTAAAAGTTTAAATGAACATGATGGGGTCCATTCGTCCATGCCAGTCTACCGTTTTAGAATTTGGATTTTGATCCCATTGGGGGCGTATTTTAAACAATGTCAGTGAGATTACCTTTGAGGTTCTCTTTTCATTAGTTCGCCATGGGCCTTCAAAAACATTGAGATGGGTCTTCTGGTAATGTGTCATTAGCTTCCTATCTATTTCCTAATTCACTAGGTATGAATATCGTTCACTTCAAGAGCATTTTGGTACAGCGGGAACTAGGAAAGTTAAGAGGATTTTTTTCCTCCTCAAAATATGAGTTGAGATTTATACCGTCTATGAAATTAAAATCACTGAGCCTCAATTCCTGCTGAACTAACAAAACATGTTGTGCAGGCCTAAGAGAGGTAGGGGAGCAGTTGGGGCTCGGATGGATGAAACCGGTCCTTACCCTGCTGCTTGTTCAGACCATGAATCAAACCCATCGGGCGGCTCTGAATTGAGAGACCGTCCCATGATTGGCCCCAAGAAGCCTCTTTGGTTGAATTCCTCAGAGTCTTCAGATGATGAAGATATGATGAAAGTATCAAAGAAGGGTAAACCAGACAAATATCACAGCAGTAAGCACAAATCTAAGAGCAAATCTAGAGATAAGGGTAGAAAGGTACATTCAGAAAGACACAAGTCCCATAAGTGAGATGATCCGAGGAAGATTTTTTTTAATCTATAGTTTTTTTTTAAATACACATTCTTGGCCTCGAATCGCATATGTACCCTCTCTCTTGTTTGTGTATAAACCATTGTTCTTTTGCTGCAACTAAAGAAGATATGATTTCTTGTTTGGTTGTTGATTTGCATGGAGGTCTGGTCTTTGGGTATTATTCATCTGTAACACTTAACACTAGTTCCTAATTTGTGTTTATTCTCTCTATTGATGTCTTTGTTATTCTTTTTGTTGTTGGATTGTCTAATCTCTTTCTTTAGCTTGCAGACTTCACCTTTTTTGACAATTAATAAAAGGGTGTTGCTAAATTAACCTTCTTTTTTTGCTACCTTTTTTGACAATTAATAAAAGGGTGTTGCTAAATTAACCTTCTTTTTTTGTGCTAAATCCATCCCTTTTATATTAAATAGACAATTTTATCTTTAAAAAAATGATTATTGCATCTAAAGTTCCTCTTTTGTATTTAAGGGCAAAATTGTTTATTCATTAGTAATGGAGGGAGTTTAGTGGGAGTGAATTTAGCAACACTTTGATAAAAAATAACTTTAAAAAATCACTTTTTACTTTTAAACTATGCTGTAGTATTTTTCTTCTTCACCATCTCTAATGTAATACTCCCTCCGTCCCAATTTAAATCGCCCGTTTTGACTTTTGGGCATATTTAAGGAAAATAAAAAATAGAGTTGATCTTTAAGGGTAGTTTAGGTATTTTATTTTTAATAGTTTACGAAAACAACGAACTAACAGGCAATTTATTTTGGGACGGAGAAAAAAGGCAAACAGGCAATTTAAAATGGGACGGAGGGAGTATTTTGATGTATGTATTTATATTTCTATGTAGATATATTATAAAAATGTCAAATTGTAAAATTATGTTTTTAAAATAAATCTATTAAATTTATGTCATGATGTTTTTTTTGTATATTTCCATCAAAGTTTAGAACATTGATTTAAAAAAAGTAAAATGTAAGAGTTATTTTTTGAAATGTTAAATATTTTTTCCACTCTTACACTAAAAAAAATAATATAGGGAGTATTAAAAAACCTGATTTTTTTCCGTAAATAATAAAGCAAACCAAGATTTCAAAAAGGATAGTCAAAAAATATTTTAATAATAATAATAATAATAATAATAATAATAATAATAATAATAATAATAATAATAATAATAATAATAATCCGTATAAAAAGAAAAAGGATAAGGAGAAGACACCATTCGCGGTCATACAGCATGTCCATACAAGGCTCTGGTCATACAGCTAAATGATTTTTCTCCTCATACAGCTGAATAATTAACAGTTTCACAAAACATTCACGAAATCAATTTAAAGTATATCCTACTTGGAACAAAATCAATACGGAGTAAAATCATCAAAAAGTGAATAACCTTGTTGATTTATGAATTCACTCTTAAGGAATAATTGTGTACATGGATATTTATATAGGTGAGGATCCCTACATGGACTAGGATTCACCAAATAAGTAAATTAACATAAATAACAATTCTGCTATAACTAGACTTCTTTCCATATATGTCTAACATCCCCCCTCAAGCTGAACACTGTGAAACGAGAGGAAGCTTGGCAACTAATGCAGTGTAGCGTGGCGAGGCAAGAGCTTTTGTGAGAAGGTCTGCCAGCTGCTCATTAGAAGGAACATAAGAAACCGTCATTTTCTCTGCAATTACTTGTTCTCGTACAAAGTGGCAATCCGTTCCGACATGTTTCATGCGCTTATGGAAGACTGGATTCTTAGTCAGACAAATGGTGGACTGGTTGTCGCATAGAAGATGTGGAGGAGGGAGCTTGATTTGTAAAATGTCAAACAAGTAGGTGAGCCACATCACCTCAGCTGCTGCGGCTGATAGGGCTCTGTACTCGGCTTCGGTGGACGAGCGTGAGACGCGACTTTGTTTCTCCGTACTCCAAGAGAGTAAATTAGAGCCAAGATATATCAAGTAACCTGTAACGGACCGTCCATCTGTCATATCGTTGGCCCAATCAGAATCAGAATATGCATAGATGGTATGTGGGCCTCGCCGGAAGACCAAGCCATAATCAATGGTTCCTTTGACATAGCGCAGGATGCGTGTCAAGGACTGGAAATCTTGCTCTGTAGGTGCATGCATCCTTTGACAAACATAATTCACCGCAAACTGAATGTATGGACGCGTGTTTGTCAAGTATTGGAGAGAGCCAACTAAACTCCGGAAAAAGGTGGGATTGTCGAACGGACGGCTCTCCCCCCCCCCCTCGGGCTGCCGTACGGGTAGGGGCGTGGGGGCCGGTTTGCAATCTTCGACTCCTGCTTTATGGAGAAGTTCACGGGCATATTTTTCTTGAGATAGAAGCAGATGATCCTTTGTGCGTGTGACTTCAAGGCCAAGAAAGTAGTGAAGAGGGCCAAAATTCTTCATTTGAAATTCCTTTTGCATTGCCTCGATGAATGAAGAGATTAGAGGTGAGGCACTGCCAGTGACAATAATATCATCAACATAGAGAAGGACAATGAGAATGCCAGAGGGAGAGTGCTTAACAAAGAAGCTGGTGTCATGTTCATTTTTCCCAAAGCCATAGTCAACAAAGAACCCTGACAGACGCTGGTACCAAGCCCGTGGTGCCTGTTTCAGGCCATAAAGAGATTTCTTTAGTTTGCACACATAATGAGGATACTGCTGATCTACATATCCTGGAGGCTGCTTCATATAAATTTCATCATGAATGACACCGTGAAGGAAGGCATTGGAGACATCCAATTGATGAAGGGGCCAATTGTGATTGACCGCTAGAGCAAGAACCACCCGAATAGTCTGCTGTTTGACCACAGGGCTAAAAGTCTCAGAGTAGTCCAAACCATATTCCTGTGTGTAGCCCTTGGCCACAAGACGGGCCTTGTACCTGGAAACAGAACCATCAGAGTTATGCTTAATTTTATAAATCCACTTACATCCAATAGGAACCCGATTTGAAGGTGCCGGAACAAGCTCCCATGTTTGCTGATCAATCAAGGCTTTATACTCATCATCCATAGCTTGACACCAATAACTGTTTTGGGAGGCATCTTTATAGGTAACAGGCTCTGTGGTGGGTGGGGAAGAGGTAGAGGAGGTGGAGTAGAGTTTAGGTTTGAAGATACCACTTCGTGCACGAGTGGTCATGGGGTG